ATCCTTCTGAGGATGGTAGGGTGACGTACTAATCTTCCTGGTCCCCAAGGCATCGCAAACGTCGCGCAACTATTTGGAAGAAAAGTTCCTACCCTGATCGGTGAGTAACTTCTCCGGTGCCCCTTTATCCATCACGTATCCGTTTACGAAAGTGTCCACAATAGACACGCCGATTGATCTGGCAGGGGCCAAGCCACAGGCCAAAGAGAAAAATATTCGACGCCCACGAGGAGAAATTTGTTCTTGCGAGGTGTAACAGGAAACAGACCCAACACTTCGAGGGCAACCAACTCATTGATGCGCGTGACAGAAATGGATTGCAAGGGCAGAATGTAACGTTGCCGGGGAGATTTTCTCCTGCCACGATCGGGGCATGTTCGGAGCGCACAAGTGACATCCGACATCATACCAGGCCTAAAATAATCCTTCTACCCTGCGCGGCCAATCGGGCACCTACCTTTCGATTTTCAACTGATGCCCCGCCCTTACCTGGAACGATATCCTCCGGTGTGCCTTCAGTCATTGTTTACGCACCCGCCCTCCCCCACCTCCCCCCCAACCAGTTTGGTCAGGGTGGCCATCCCGCAGAATACACAATTTCAATCGGTCCAGGAATTTCCCTCCCATCTCCTCTCATGCGCTGTTCGCTGGGTGTTTGCCCCGAGGCCCTATCCCCCGGTGCTGTGAGTGTTCTCATTGCGGTTTGCTCGGTGAGCCTCGTCGTGCCCATACAATTCTAAGCTAATTCACGGGGGCCGCAAAGCAATTCGGACTGGGGGGGTCGGCCAATCTCCTGGCACTGGGAAACCGTGGGACATCCCTGCTAGGGGCCCCTCGGGTAAAAACCCATGGTACCAGGTGACACCCCACGAGACCCTACGTGGGTGCGTGTATGTGTTTAGTGGGGGTGTGCGTGCATTCGTGTGGCGGGGTGCGAGGGGATAGCAGTGCCGGCGGAGTTGCTCCGTTGCTGTGGCACCACAGGTGCTTTAGGGTGCACGGAGGTGTGACGTAATAAATAAATAACCAAAAATAGCACTAAATTGATAATTAAACTACTTTAAAGGCGATGGACGTGAAATTGGAATAGCGCTGGCTCACCACGGGGCTTTTGGCGTGCTACCTGGGTGCTTTTTTTAAACCTAAATCCCACGGTTCGTGAGCCAAATCCCTCGCAAGTGTCGACCACACAGACAGACAAAAAATGCCTTTTGTAGTTTAGATTTAGCTAACCTGTCCCCCTCGTTAGGATTCGCGAGAGGAGAGTGACAGCACTTATCATGATGTGGACATTTATTGAAGTAAATCAGAAATATTCAATAAATTGTTCAGCTCGTGATTATTAATGAGGGGGGGGGGGTTGCCCCATGTGGAGTGACGTCACCCGCTAATGGTTATTGGGGAGGGGTTTGGCATGTAGAGTGACGTCACCCGCTCATGATTACTATTGAGGGAAGGGCCTCATGTGGAGTGACGTCACACATGGGACACACACGCACACATTCTTGGCTTATTATGTTAGTAACTAGCCTTTTGCCCGTCCAAGGACGGGTGTATTTCAGTAAATCTGAAACTAGCAAGTGAAAAGCAGACTGCGACGTGATATTCATTGCATTAATTTGTGTGCAATTTGTAAGGCAGCGGTGACAGACTTATTTCATTTAAAGGTTATAATCCCTTTTTCATCATGACGTCCTTTTTACTTCTATGTCTTAACAGCGTGACGGAGATTGCGTGACGTGAGGGTTCTGCCTTTGTAGTGAGGGTTTGAAATTGACGCTGAGGAGGGGGGAGGAGGCGCCTCGCCCCCCCACCCCCCATGTGGAGTGACGTCACCCGCGAATTATTCATGGGGGGGGGGTGTTCATTTTGAAGACGTAACCTCTTCATGATTATTGAGGGGGGCAGTTCGATGTGGAGTGACGTCACCTGCTCATGATTATTAATGGAGGGGGGTGCTACATGTGGAGTGATGTCACCTTATCATTATTAATGAGGGGGGGGGGGGTTCATGTGGAGGACGTCATCTGTTCATGATTATTAATGAGGGGGACTGGCTAACTTGGAGTGACGTCACGCGCGGGACACACAGACATTATTGGCTCATTATAGTAGTAAATGTGCAGGGAAAACAGGAGTACCTGTAGAAAAATCCACGCGACCACAGGGAGAGTCGGAGATACGCAAATTTCAAATATACAGCCGCAGGCGTCAGGTTCAGGATCGAACCCACGACCTCTTGTATACCAGCCCATGGAGACAACATCTCACCACCGAAGTACTGTACCCGAGCTCGATTCCCGACCACGGCCACCATCAGCAAATATCTGAACTGGTCATAAGCCTCCCCCTAGTTTTACTCATCCCCAATTAGTATGTGGAATGGTGTGTAAATGTCAACACTGGTAGGGAGACAAAGGCGACCGGGCGTGGTCATCACACCCAGACCCTTCTGGCGCGGAAATCGATTGAAGCAACTGAATCGATTGAAGCAACTGAGTCGATTGAAGCAACTGAGTCGTATTTTTCGATTTAAAGCTTTCGTGACTGCAGGGATTCATCTTCTTGGTTTTTTCGGTAAAGTTACAGTAGAAGGGAAGTAATAAAATAATAAAAATAAAACATAAAATAATTCTCACGACGTTTCGGCTAGAACGCAAGCAGCCGTCTTCAGGTGAAGAATGAGACACTGCCAAGCTAGGAGCTTATATATAAGCTGAGTTGGAGGTGGAAGAAGAGCGCCTTAACAAAAGAATGTGCATATCAAGAGGAATTTAGCATAGTCATGGAAAATGCATAGGAGGTGGGCGGGGGGGTTTCAAAGTCATATTATGCCCATGCATTATGCAGGATCAGCAGCACCAAAGGGAGGGGGCAGGGGGTAGCATTAACAAAGGGAGGGGATGTTAATAGTATGTAGAAGCAATGAAACATGTGAATGGGAGAACGGTGGCAGGAGACCCGCAGCGGAGCAAATAATGCATTCCCTGTGGAGAACACAAGATACACAGTTAATGCCAGTGAGTCGATTGAAGCAACTGAATCGATTAAAGCAACTGAGTCGATTGATGCAACAGAATCGACGGCTTGTGCACCAGATCTTATTTATTCATGATGTACTTAGAAAAAAATCCGCAGATTACCTGTTGGATCTCCTCTCTGTTTCAAAGAACAAATTTGACCTAACGTCTTCGCTCATTTACCAGCTTCACATTCCCTATTGCCGTACAAATACTGGAGGAAGGGCATTTGCTATTAATTCTAGATTTGAAGCTTTCGTGACTGCAAGGATTCATACTCTTAGGTTCTTTCGGTAAAGTCACGTAGGTAAAAGTAATAATAAAATAAAATAATAATAAATGAAAATAACTAAAATGCACGGCAGCTAAAGTTTAAACTTGGTTAATTACATCCTTCTTCAGGTGGGGACTGCGAAGCGTAAACACAACAGCTTAAGTGTGTCTAAGAGGTGGCTTTGACGAGGAGTTAAATCTTTTTTTACATGGTTATTAACATCTTTCCAATGATTGCTCAATTCGTACCCATCATCACGGTTGAAGTTATGTCTATAAACCAAGTTTAAACTTTAGCTGCCGTGCATTTTACTGCTAAACAGCCAGTTTATATTTACTCTCATAATCATATCCATATTGATTCTTTTAATTTTACAGTCATATCCAGCCTGATACACTACCATCACTAAGGAAAAAGTCTGATTTACAACAGTGTTTCATTCCCATTCGCCATTCAGCATCCAGGCACCGTACATGCATTGTACAAGCACCGTACATGCAGTGTACAAGCACCGTACATGCAGTGTACAAGCACCGAGATGGTTATCTCCCCCCCCCCCCCACTCATTGGCTCCTCCCTGCCCAGCACCCTATATAAAAACACGTCTTGAATAGCTTTCTTCACACGCTACAGTAATTTTACTGGAGCAGTTACACCTGATGACGGAGGCTTGTGTTGCTTCCGAAACGTCGTGATTTAAATTTCGATTTAAAGCTTTCGTGACTGCAGGGATTCCTCTTCTTGGTTTTACCGAAAGAACCAAGTCGTGATTTAATTTAGTTATTTTCATTTATTATTATTATTTTATAATTTTTTACCTACGTGACTTTACCGAAAGAACCTAAGAGCCTTTGCTATTGATGCCCCTAGGGTCTAGAATGCTATTGCCAATAAACTGCAACTTGAATCACTACCTGTGAGATCTTCACTCAACTACTATAGAGGAGTTGTACACCCCTAGCTGCCACTGCTATTCAGTGGCCTTAAATAAAATGTTTCGCTCCGGATGATCGCTGCAAAGTATGATCTGTGTTTTGATTTAGTGTGCTGATCTTAAAGGTGCATTGAAAATGTTGATACTCCGACTGATGCTCCTGCTGTGGTGGAGTGACTCATACAGCCAGCTATGGCTGCAGGGTTTGGTAGTACATGTTGTTTTCGTCGTTTATTGTGAAAAATTCGGTCACAGTTCCTATGATCACTGTTTCATTGCTTTTATGGCTTTATTTTTGGTGATTTCGAAAAGTTTTTTGGTTTGGCCATGTTTGTTTGTTGTAGTACAGAGTTAGACTGATGGCCTAAATCTAAGTGTTCTTGTAGTTGTTTGTGTTTGACTTGCATCCCCCTGGGATTTTTGCACACAGCGTTGGTGTACGGTGCTTTTTTCTGCACTATTTTGCTGTCTTTTCTTGGACTTTCTGTTTGCAAATAGTCACATAGTCACTTTAAGATTTTTCTTGTTCATGTTTTTGTTTTTTGTTTGTTGCGATTGCACCCGATTCAAGAGCCGAATGGCTCACAGGGCTATACCTAATAAATGAAACTAGAAACTTGAAAACTTGAAGCAACTGAGTCGATTCAAGCAACTCAGTCGATTGCAGCAACTGAATCGATTGAAACAACTGAATGGACTGAAGCAACGGAATCGATTCAAGGTAGCTGCAGACATTAAATAGAAAAGATGATTCTAACTCCTTGGTTTTTTCGGTCAAGTCACGTAGGTATAAAATAAAATAATATATTTTATTTTATACCTACGTGACTTTACCGAATAAAACCAAAGAGTATGGATCCCTGCAGTCACGAAAACTTCAAATCTAGAAAGATGATTCGACCCTGGAGTCGCTGACATTGATTAATCTGTCACTGTATCCGGGTTGTGTCTGGGCTCTGCGATTGTCTTTTTTCGTCTGGAATATTCTGACGTTCAGCCCCGCTTTTTAAAATAAAGCCGCGAGGTTTCCCGCCTTCGACCTCGCATCTCCTGCGCGCGGGTCGTGGCGGCTCGCCGTGGGTTTCCTGCCTCAGAGATCACGGAGACCGAGGTACTAGGCCCAAGCCACGGTGTTTCCTAGATTCCCTGCCCGGGACCGTGGTGCCCGAGCCCGGTTGGGAACGCGATTAGAAAGCACAGCAGAGGTTAGTGTCGGTGACTATAATGTATAATGTGCATAGGCATCGTTGGTTTGAATGAGTATTGTAGCTAAATAATTGCGATTAGAATGTGCCATGGTCTATCCACTGCTGAGTGAGTGTGGGCAAAGTGAGTAGTCGAGTGAGTGCTTTGGTGAGTGAGTAAGTGGATGAGTGAGTGCTTGAGTGAGTGAATGAGATCGTAAGTGGATGAGTGAGTGCTTTGGTGAGTGAGTAAGTGGATGAGTGAGTGCTTGAGTGAGTGAGTGAGATGGTAAGTGGATGAGTGAGTGCTTGGGTGAGTGAGTGAGATCGTAAGTGGATGAGTGAGTGTTTGGGTGAGTGAGTGAAATCGTAAGTGGATAATTTGAGTGATATCGTGGGTGAGTTGATTCATGGTGTGTGTTGGGTAAATTGAATGAGTGGGAGGGTGAGCATCTGCTTTTTGAATGATTGTGTCTGTGCCCAGCCTCTGCTTGTCCAAAGGAGCTTTTGCTGGCCGGATAAAAGTGGGGTGAACGGGCGCTGCACTGAAGGATGTTGAGTTGATTGGAATTGCCGGAGGGAAGAGGAGCGACGCTGACAACAACGAGGAAAGCGTCAGGTGGATAAAACGCAGAAACTTTGCACAGTAGGGAGCACAGGTGGTGCATCTGCCAGTCATCCCACACCGTCAACCCGTGGTACCTGGGTCTGTTATATACAGTATGTGTGTGTGTGTACTGTGAGTAGTGTGCTGTGTGTTAGCACCGTGGTGAACAGTGGTTGTATATGTGTGTGTGTACTGTGAGTAGTGTGCTGTGTGTTAGCATCGTGCATACCACAAACAATCACGTTGTTTTTCGTGTCAGTTCTCATTGCTGTTGTCAATAGCTACATTTATCAGAAAAGTCCATGTGACTTATTTAGGGATCTTTTCTTTTGTGCACGTGTAGATTGTGTACACGTTTCTGTATGGGAGGGATGGCGCATTGGCACACTACGCTATGACCCCGGCAGCCCGGGTTACATTCCCGCTCACGGTCAACACCAGTGACGATGATTTGAATCGGTTCTGGGCCTCACCTAGTTCGATTGTCTCAAATTCGTACCTGGTGCGGTGTGTAAACATCGTCACTTGGGAGACAAAGGCGGCCGGGCGTGGTGCTACCATCACGTGTGCTGAGCCAGCCTTCATAGGTCCTCACTAACAGCTCTTTCTCCTCGAGTCTGTGAAGGCTACATGGGATCTTTAGCTTTTATGTGTAATACGAGGAGCGGTCGTGGAGTTGTGTACTATGCTACAAATTCAGGGACCGGCGTCGATTCCCTCATGACCAACTTCTGTTGTGAATATCTGAAATGATCATGGGCCTCCCCTACATCTACTCAACCTTAATTGTGTCCGTAACACACTGGGGAGACAACGGCAGCCAAGCGTGGTGCTATCCACACCACCCTCTCAAGTTCAATGTCAGCTTTCATAGGTGCTCGCTAATAGCAGTTGCCTCAACAGTCTGTTCAGCCTATATGGGTGATTTTTGTGTATGTGCTGTGTATGTGCATACCACTGCAAGTCTGTGCCACTGCTGATATGTAATTTGTGTAACCTGATTTCTATCTGCATCTTCCAGTTCCTCTGTCGCGCTGCAGAAGCGAGCACATGGAGTGGATATAACTCGCCAGCCTGGCATTAATTGGCACCAATGTTCATACAGCACGGATCACAATGTCTGCATGAAGAAGCACCAGAGGGCACACACGGGAGAGAACCCATGCCAGTGCACTGTGTGTGGGAAGGCATTTGCACAGTCATCGCATCTTCATGATCACCAGAGAACACACATGGGGGAGAAGCCCTTCAAGTGCACTGTGTGTGAGAAGGCATTTGCAGAATTAGACCAAATACTCAAACATCAGCAAACACACAGGGGTGAAACACCCATAAAGTGCGCTCTGTGTGGGAAAACGTATGCAAAGTCATCACATCTTTACAGACACCAGACAACACACATGGATGAGAAGCCCTTCAAATGCACCGAGTGTGGGAAGTCATTTAAACGTTTTGAATCTCTTCAAAGGCACCAGAGAATACACACGGGCGAGAAGCCATTTAAATGCACTGTGTGTGGGAAGGCATTTCCACAGTCAATACATCTTACCAACCACCGAAGAACGCACACAGGCGAGAAACCATTCAAGTGCACTGTATGTGGGACGGCATTTGCACAATCGGGAGATCTTGTCAAACATCAGCGAATACACACGGGTGAAAAGCCTTTCAAGTGCACTGTGTGTGGGAAGGCATTTGCACGGTCAGAAGTCCGAACCAAACATGAGAAGATCCACAAGAAGAGGAAGGTGAAATCGACTTGTGCAAATCAAAGTGTTGCAAAGAGATCCTCTCTCGTGAAACAAGAAGCAGAAGAAAATCCCAGTTTCACAACTTGGCCAGAAGTGAAGGTCAAATGTGAAGATGAAGATTTGACTCCAGTGCTGGACATCCAGGTCAATGGAGGCAGTGTGAAGCAGGAGGAGAACTCAGACGCCGAGAGAGAGCGAGGTGACCCCCAGCAGTTTGTCGATGTAGAGGTATGGGTGGACTACTTGAGTGATGCGAAGAAACCAGAAACACTTGTAGACTTTGATTCTGTGTAGTTTAACCAGGAGCTTGAGACTAAGACACTCCTAACAAATCACTGTATTCACTTCTCTCATTACAAGAATGCATGCAGCTATAGGCATCATTCAGTCAGAGATAGGCTCTCAGTAAATGTGTAATTCAGTGCAGTAGTGAAATATTGTCTCATTGCAAGATAGTAGGGGGTGCCGTTTTTGATCGTTTAGAATTTTAATATGATTGTGATATTTATTCTAGAGTTGAAGCTTTCGTGACTGCAAGGATTCATACTCTTAGGTTTTTTAGGTAAAGTCACGTAGGTAAAAATAAGTAAATAATAAAATAATACAGATAAAATTATAGATCACGACGTTTCGGAGGCAACACAAGTCTCCGTCATCAGGTGGGACCGTCACAGCTAAATTTACTGTATCAAGTGAGGCAAAATTCCAAGAGACAAGCTCTTAAATACAAGTTAAGGGGGAGGGAGGGGAAGGGCTTATCTGAATGTGGTAGCCAGTGCATGGAACATGTTGGGGGGGTGGGCGGGGCTAAAAGAGAACAATCGGTGTACCTCGACTTGGGGTTGTAACCGGTGTTGGCTGACAATCCAAATACAAAAAGGGCAGTACTGTTAAACGCTGGGGATGTCAACACTCGGTAAAGTAGAATAGTACCTGTCAAATAAGATGGTACAAATATGTGTAGTTAAATATTTTTTACATGGTTAATAACATCTTTCCAATTATTACTCAGTATGTACCGATCATCAAGGTTGAAGTTAAGTCTGTGTTTGTATATCTGGATGGCTTCGTGTACAAACTTTTGATGGTAGCCAGAAAGTTTGCAGAGCACCTTGGTCTCGGAAAAGACAATATCATGACCAATATCATGACTAAGGTGCTTTACCGAAAAAAACCTAAGAGTATGATTGTGATATATTTTTACTTTTGGAGTTGACATCTTGTAGTGATACAAAATAAATGGTTTTCTACTTAGTTCTATAATATTCTAATTGCCAATTGACTGATAATGTTATTAGAATGCTTGCAGCAAGTGTGTTTTGTTAGTGTGTGGAGCCCAGTATTGGATGAAGCCTCTCATTCGCCACACATCTGCTCTGGTGCCTGCATTGATATGTGGCAGGGATCTGTGTTCAGCATCGTTAAACCTCCGTGCGAGCCAGGTCCTTTTGCACAATGGTGGGGATAATGTCTCCCAACCGGACAGTACTGATGATCCCAATTAAACATGATTTATGTTCATAGGCAGGGATATGCGTTAATTGATGGGCTATAATAACATGGGAGCAGTATACCGTTGCAGTGGTGTCCTGCCTCTGCGTGAAGCTATACTGAACACTGACATTTCTGGATCATCTTAAAGAAAACGTCAGGAAATGTCAAGACACGCAACAACCTCCTTTACATATTTTTTTTGTATATGGGTAACCACTTACACACTCTTTATGTGGTACCCATGACACACAACACGAAGACAAATGACTCCCATATAGCCTCTAACAGATTTTAGGACAAGTGCTGTTAGCGAATAGCAATGATTGAAGCCGGCACCAGCACACGAGCAGATGGATGGCCATGACCACGCATTGCAACCTTTGTGTCCCCAGACACACTTGTACATACATTTTTTCTAATGGCTGATATAGATGCAACGCAACAACAACAATTTAACTTTCAGGTGGCCAAGTTAGCCACTCAAGCACACTGCCCCACACGCAGTCACTCCACTCAAAAATCACAGACACCATGCTGAAGTTCACCCACACACGCAGAAATCACACTACACCGATCTTGAATGAACTTCAGTTCAGTAAATATTCAGTGAGCAGCACCTAGCCTATCCCTATTCAATCCCTGGGTGTACCCTCACTTTACTTCTCACCTCGCAGACGCACTCACGGTGTCGCATGGACGCGGTGGGAGTCGGAGGGACGAGGGTATGAGAGGTCTCTACCTGGGGTCGAGTAGTAGCAGCACTCGCCAGCATGTCTCGGACGCTGCGAGCGGCTAGGAGTCGGAATCCAAAGATCCAGGGTCACGTGGTGTTATCCTGTGCGGCCAATTGGGCGCCTACCTTTTGATTTTAAACCGATGCCCCGCCCCAACCTGGAGCGTTGCGTGCCATTACTTCTTGATCCATTGTCTACGCCCCCGTCCTCCCCACCCGGACTCAACCGGTTTGATAGGGGTGGCCGTCCCGCGGAATACACAGCTGCAGTCGGTCCAGGAATTTTCCTCCCACCTCCTCTTATGTGCTGCTTGCGGAGTGTTTGCCCACGAGGCCCTATCTCCCTGTGCTGTGAGTGTATCATTGCGGTTAGCCCGGTGAGCTTCGTCGTGCCCATACAATTTTAAGCCAATTCACGGGGGCCGCAATGGAATTTGGCCTGGGGGGGTGGGGTCAGCCAATCTCCTGGCACTGGGAAACCGTGGGACATCCCCGCTAGGGGCCCCTCGGGTAAAAACCCATGGTACCAGGGACCCCCCCCCCCCCACACGTGGGTGCGTGTGTGTGTTTAGTGGGGGTGTGCATGCGTTCGTGTGGAGGGGTGCTAGGGGATGGCAGCGCCGGCAGAGTTGCTCCATTGCCGTGGCACCACATTGTCCACTGTGTAACCGGGAGTAATCCTGTGGTGTGCCTTTACAAAGACTGCGGCGGGGCCTTCAAAACAACAACACAGCTGAGCGAACTTGCCGAACGGGTACCAGCAGTTCTTTCTACAGCATTTGTTATAAAGTGTTAAATGTATGCATGGGTTTGTGTAAATGTGTTTGTTTTTTACTTATTATGCTTAGAATAACACTTAATGGTATTTTACATAGAATTGAAGCTTTCGTGTATGCAGGAATTACTATACTCATTGGTTCTTTCGGTAAAGTCACGTATGTAGAAATAAAATAAAATTTAAATAAATCACAAATAAAATAAATCACGACGTTTCGAACGCAACACAAGCGCTCCTCATCAGGTGAAAATTGGGCAAAACAGCGAGGGAATACACAGTGGGACATCACACAGCACACATAGAACGGCAAACTGCATGGAGGCAAATACAGCAAGAAGACAGGAAACGCGAACTCAACAAACCTTAGAAATATACGATGCAAACCAGCTGGCCAACAACACAGACACTAACTTGGTTGACCACGTATTTCAAAAGAATTACATTTTGTGTGCCTCTCCATGTGTGTATGTCTCTTGGTGTGGTGTTGCTCTGGTTGTCCCTCTGTGCTGCCCAAAACATCTTAACATATTTCGCTGTGTGTCTTCTCTACGTATGTATCTCTGCTACCTTGTACCTCGTGTCTGTTCACGAGTCCTTGTCCTCTGTTTACGTTGGTATGTTCAGCCCAGAAGATGACCACAAAATTTTACATTCTTTTGAAATACGTGGTCAACCAGGTTAGTGTCTAACTGTGTTGTTGGCCAACTGGTCTGCATCGCATTATGTTTCTAAGGTTTGTTGAGTTCTATGAAGACCGGTGCAGTGGCCAAAACATTCAAGATGTGCTCCTGCTCGAGAGAGGTCCTCCCCTGGCTGGTGTTTGTGCTGCTGCTACTGGGTTGTCTGGAGCCGGTGGAGTGGACTGCTGCTCGTCTTCCACCCACTTATCCTCCTGTGTTTTGAGCACATTGTCACTCAACCCATCAAACGCAATGTCATTGTCACTTCATTCATCACAGACAACACACTCCTATACTTTCTCAAACAATGGCAAATCCCATATTCTGTTCATTCGTTTCCTGTAATATACAATATTCTATCATGTCATAATATCGTTTGTTTATATTCTTTGGGTCTTTCGGTAAAGTCACGTAGATAGGTGACTTTACCGAAAGACCCAAAGAATATGAATTCCTGCAGCCACGAAAGCTTTAAGTAAGTCATGGTTTGTTTAATAAGGTCTCCACCAGTCACCCATAGTAAAAAAAAAATACTCATACACATGTATCACTACATACACATAAAACGCTGTTTAGGATAACACTTTATTACAAAATACATGTAAAATTATTAATATTCGTGATTTGAAGCTTTCGTGACTGCAGGAATCCATATTCTTTGTTTTTTTCGGTAAAGTCACGTAGGTAGAAAAATATTAGATCACGACATTTCGATCGCAACACAAGCATCCGTCTTCAGGTGTGGACAAAACAGCGAAAGAACAATCGCTTGAGTATGCCTAAGAGATGGCTGTGACGAGGGATTATATAGTAGGGGGGGAGCCAGGGTGAGTGTGGGGGCGGGGTGTGGGCTGGGAGGTGGGTATGGAGTTCAAACGAAAGCTTTGTGATGCAGGCGGCGGTTGAGCTGGTTAATAGGAAAGTTATTAAGAAATGAAAGCTAAATTAAATCACCAATACAATACACTAATATACAATACACTACTATACACTACACTGTACAATAAACTACACTACTATAGACTGCTATACATTACACTATTATACACTCCACAATACACTACTATACTCTACACTACACTATATACTACGATACTATAGACTACTATACACTACACTATTAAACAGTACACCATACACTGCTATACACTACTGTACACTACACTATACTATTATACACTACACTATACACTGCTATAACCTACGCAATACACTTATAAACTTTGCTACACAATACTAAACACTACACAATACACAACTATACCCGAAACACTACTATAGACTCCTATCCACTATACTTTAATACACTACACTATGCACTGGTATACACTCCACAATACACTACACTATATACTATAGAATACACTACACAATACACTAATATACAATACTATACACTACACTATTCACTACACTATACATTACTATACAATACACTACAACCAAAGAATAAGTTAATACACTACACTATACACTGCGGTAAACTACGTACTACATGACTATAAACTTTGTTACACAATACTAAACACTACACAATACACAACTATACAAAAAAACATTACTATAAACCCCTATCCACTATACTATAATACACTATGCACTGGTATACACTACACAATACACTACCATACACTAAACTACTATACACCACAGAATACCCTATACTATACACTACTATACAAAACACTACTATACACTACACTATCCACTACAATATACATTACTATACAATACACTACTATACACTACAACCAAAGAGTAAGTTAAGCCGATTAATGACCTTTGTTATGCTGCAAGGGAGTGGGCTAGGGCTGCTGGGGGAAGTACTAAGCTCCGCCAGCTCGAAACAACGCGCGGTAAATGTCCAAGTGATGGGAGTAAGCAGGACTTGGTGTCAAATGTCTTAGTGATGGTAGTGTGTAAAGCTGGGAGTAAAAGACTGGGAATATTGATATGAATATGAAAATAAATATAAACTGGCTGCCTTGCAGTAAACTACACGGCAGCTAAAGTTTAACTTGGTTAATTACATCCTTCCAATGATTGCTCAATTTGAATCCATCTCGGTTGAGGTTATGTCTATGTTTGTGTATCTGGATGGCTTCATGGACAAATCTCTGGTAGTATCCAGGAGGCTTGCAGAGTACTTTGGTATTGGAGAACACAATATCATGAGAGCCCGCAGTAGTTATAACAGTGGTCAGCCACGGCCGAAGAATTTGTTCTACCGTGTTTCAAATCTGACTTGTGCTCGCGAATGCGGTCATAAATGTCGCTTCGTTTCCCCGATATAACAATCACCACAGGTGCAACTCAGTTTGTAGACACCATGGTACTCAGGAATGACATCCTTTACGGATGGGATCAGATCACGGATTTTGTGTACTGTACTGAATCGGACCTGGATCTTGTGTTTGCTTAGAATTTTGGAAATCTTTTTGGTAACGCCTGCTATGTATGGCAACGTAATGATTTTTATCGGAGTCTCAGGGGGTTGTTTCTCCACGGTAGGAGAAACAGCTTGGTGGATAGCACGGTCCGAGTGTCCGTTCATCTTGAGAGCCAGATGTACATGTTCTAATTCACTGGCCAGGTGGTGTTGGTCAGAGATGCAGTGGGTCCTATGGTATAGTGTTTTGATGAGGGAATTCTTTTGTGCCGGATGGTGGTGAGAATCAGGCTTCAGGTAAGTATCTGTGTGGGTAGCCTTCCTGTAAACAGAATGTCCCAAAGAGCCATTGGGCCTCCTCTCAAACAGAACATCCAAGAATGGTAGCTTGCCATCCTTCTCCACTTCCATGGTGAATTTGATGGATGGGTGTATGGAGTTGATGTGGTCTAGAAATTGGTTCAATGCTGGGAGGCCATGTGGCCAAATGACGAAAGTGTCATCCACATATCTCTTCCACAGGGAAGGACGCAGGGTGGATGTCTGGATGGCGTCTGTTTCAAAATTTTCCATGAAAACATTGGCTATCACTGGTGACAAGGGAGAACCCATAGGGGTACCCTAATTTTGTTTGTAGAAGGTACCATTCCAGGTGAAGTACGTGTTGGTGAGGCAGTGCCTAACCAGCGCAGGGACTTAACACACCTGATCTGAACTCATCTCATGCTCACAAACCTCACCCTAAACTCACCTCACCCGATCCCACTTATTCACCCACTGACTCATTCAATCACTCACTCATTCACCCACCAACCATTGCACGTACTCATTAATTCAGTCACCCACCATCTCACTTACTCATTCACTCACCTTCTCACAACCAATGCTTACATCCACTCACTCACCACCATCTCGCTCATTCAAGCTCCAATAATAAGTGGAGGATCGATCTGGCCTCACCACGCTCTCAGACACTGATCTCAGCTGACAATCGTGTACTCTGTCTTTCCTGGGTTTAGTTTCAGCAAATTTTACTCCATCCAAACAGCTACTTCAGACAAGCATAGTGATGGGGCAAAGGTTGTGGAGCCAGTCTGGGTCTGACATGAATGAGATGTGAGTTTCATCAGCATATTGATGGCACCGAAGGCCATGACTCCGGATGAGATCACCTAATGGGCTAACATACACATTGAACAGTAGGGAGGATAGCCTTGAGGTACCCCGAATGGGGCAGGACCAACAGGAGAGGCACAAGGCCCCATAATGACCTGTTGGGTTATGTACTGAAGGAAGATGAGAGGTTCAGGCTGAGCTTCCCATTCCAGCGAGGGACTTAAGATGTATCAAATGCAGCAGACAGGTATTGTGTTACAAGGGCAGATATACACCCATTATCCATAGCCTAAAGGAGATCATCCTTTATGTAAATTAGCCGTCTGTGTCCCTTGCAGAGCTTTGAACCAGGATAGGGTTGGGTCCAAACATCGCGTCTGTTCACCACACAGAGACACGTAGACGAACCACACAGAGAATCAAAACAAGCATCTTTATTTATACTGGAGGAATCTCATGATCTATTAAGCATTTTTTCACAGATCTAGTAGGCGCGGGTCAGCAAAGTACAACAAACAATACAAACACCGATAGGAGTACAAAATATAGGAAAGGTGAGTAAATCACTGTAACTAGATACATAAAAATTACACAAAGTATATAAGTAAAATCTTGATTTTAAGCTTTCGTGACTGCAGGAGTCCATACTATTTGGTTCTTTCGGTAAAGTCACGTAGGTAGAAATATTTGTGTTATATTTTATTTTATTTCTACCTACGTGACTTCACCGAAAGAACCAAAGAGTATATAATAAAAAATTTGAATTAATATTTACGATGTTAAGAGAGGGAACAAGGTTGTTCCAAAACGTTGGTACTGCAACGGAAAAGGCTTTGCCAGCTATTCCAGTGTTTGTTACTGGGACAGTTAAAAGGCGATAAGATGGAGGTCGTAGGTTTCCTGGGTTTGACAGTGGGGTTAATGCATTAGCTAAGTATATAGTTATTAATGATTTAAACACCTGATTCTAATTATGCCCTTAACTGAGCTAATGAAACAAGGGATTCACTTACTTTTTCACGTACACTGAACCTTAATTACTCATTGTTTATTTAATTCGTACATAATTTTGTTCCAAAAGACGTGGAATTGGTGAATATATTCCATATTGGATATTTAAGAAAAGACCCGTTTTGATTCAAGAAGGCTATCATGGTAAAACTATGGATTTTCCATAATTATCATTGGGGTTCAGCAACTTTTTGTCAGCACTGTAAAACAGTATTGTAGTGTAGGGGTGTCAGGGGAAGGATTC